TCTTCTTCGCATATGGTCTTCATATCCGTGATGATTGTTGGAGCTCTCTATTTGATATGAATTATCAATTAACGTCATTGGATTTAAATGACTTCTGGGACATTTCAAGATATTTATTTTTAGCAAGCCATTTCGTTGTAGATGTTGCAGTGTGCTTATGATCATTATCTTGTTCGAAGATCCAGTTAAGAGGAAGTTCAAGATTTTCAACCGAAATCATTAAATTTTCTTCCAAAATATTTTGATATGCTGCGGCATTCATTCTACCATCTATGACTGTTATATTGTCAGTACCTTTTGCAGAAAAACATCCCAAAACCATGATTCTGCTACCACTAAATTTCACTGTTGGAACTGTGTTCTTTCTGTTTTCTTTGCAGATTTATTTATTATGCATCTGTGGACATTTAATTATATGAAAAATACATTTATTCATTAGTTGGAAATATAGTAAATTAAAAATTTGTATGTGTACGAATATTTGTTTTCCACACTGTATGCGTGTATGTGTACATAATGAAAATAAATACAATTGATAATTAAATCTACAGGAAAAGCGGAGAGGTTTGGTAAATTATTCACTTGGCAAGGTAAAAAATCAGATTGCTTACTCGAATTAGATTGGTGGGACCCGATAAGAAAATAAATCCTTATGGAATTATTAGGGTAATCTTACTTAAATCCTCGATATTATTCTGATAGAGGATATTTCATCTTATACCAAGTTAAAACTTCATAGATAATATCATACTGTCAGTTCCCTAACTCTTTTCTTCTTTCGCCTTTAAACCCGGAAGAAGTTGTTGGGGCGGTGATGCGCAGAGCTGTCTACCATCCTCCTTCGACTGTCGCGATTGTGTGCCAGAGCTTGGGTCACTGCGAATTGTTTATTTGTGTGCTCATCATGTGACGTGTCGTAGGCGTTTTAACCTGACATAACCCATCCCTCTCCAGGTTACACCATAGCCGATATCCTCCAAGTAGGTAGCTCGCCTCAGTCACGAACACGTGGCCGTTATAATTCATCTGAGGAATTCTTCCGCTCTGGCCGATGACCTGCGTCAAGGAGGTCGTTTAGCCAGTGGTGGCGTGTTAATACCATCTCCTCACGTGAGTTTAGACTGCTAGCTGAAACAGTTTTCCGGGACATAGTGATCTGCAGCCATCACATGAGAAATTTAGGAGATGGTTGAGGACAGTGATTCAAAACTAATCTTCTTGGACAAAAGTGGAGGCTTTTGTTTAGATTGGTGTCACTAAAAGTGAGATTCCCTTTTATATTTTATGGTAAATACCCAACTTAGTTCTTACTAGATACGTGTTGGGAGATCAAGAAGATAAGGTAAGGAATAAACTTTTACAATCAGGTTAAGGACAAGTTGAAAAACACGCTTCTAATTTTGTTTATTTATTTTTTTCCTTCTTTACATCTTCTTTTCTTGACCCCCAAAATTAACCTCCTTTTAAACATTTGTGTTTATTGGTCCAATCAGCCGAGCATCATCATTTTTATTACGTGATTCTATGAAATGTACCTAGTCCTATTATATTATCAAACATGAATGAAAGTCCTTTGATCACACTAACCATGACCCACTTTCCTTATACGGCAGTAGCAGGTATTTCTCTAGTTTGCTCGGTTTTCAACAGCAAGCTCGTCTATATGGATGTTTGCAGCATTTAAATTGTATTTGAGTTTGTCCTTGAAACGCAACCAAGAACGGCCTACGTTACGCTTACCATGAAAAAGTTCGCTATACATGAGGATTTTCGGCATCCGTTCATGACTTATTCTTATGACATGACCAGCCCATCTGAACTGTGATTGCATCACAAACACGGAATGATTATAAGGTCAGTGCTTATGAAAACAGATTTAATTTTAAAAATGTCATAGAATCTAAAGACACAGTATTGTTTTTTGTCAATGCCTTTTTTCAAACTTATGACTTTTCTGGTTCAGGAACTGCTGATAAGTCGAAGTAATGCAATAACAAACATCAAGAATCATTTCGCTCTACGTTCTCGTTCAATTCTTCAATTTTTATCAGTTTTGTACCGTAAAAAATGTTTTAAGTACTCCCATAGAAAAAGGTGGGTGGCACCGTTTTACTCTTGAACTAGCTAGATGTAACCGTGAGTTCTATTCTAATAGTTTCTAATCGACATCTTGTGTGATCGTGAACCCTATTCTTTTATTGTCCTTTCCACTCACTAAAGTTTTCTCATTCTCTTTCACTCCCAGTAATACCTTTTGTTTTAGGGCCATTATCAACTTGCTTGGAGTGAAATTAATAACAAAAAAAAAAAAACATATCGGGAACGTGAAAGGTACTCTCTTGGATTTATTGGTCCAAACAACTTATTTGTCAAAATATCAGCAGATTACGCCTTACATCTCAATTGTAATGTGTAGGTACCAACATCTTGCTGGAAATAAAATTTCTCATTCAAAATGTCCTCTTGGATGCGTAACACACAGGCTGTCGCATTAAGTTCAAGCAAACGGCCGACGACAGTACCGTCAATAGAATTGTCCAGCGTGATGATATCCGCAGCACATTGTAAATTCTGCTATATTAGCATGATGTTCCTCTAGATGCAGATCTAGTCCCGAGTATGATAATAAACTACATTTTGTCGAAATGCCTCTGATCGGGATATTGCAGGTTTTCAGGGTCGTGGAACAACCACTTAATTGCTAGTGTTCTTAGGCCCACTCTGACCTGAGTGGTAACACGTGTTAAGGTCACAGCTATGGGCAAATAGTGAACCTCCAAACAAAAAAAAAGCCCTATGAAAGTACATTTTTATATAAAAAAAATACCAACAATATATATTTATACAAAGAAATGACCAACAATACATTTTATACTAAAATGACCAACAATACATTTAACAGCAAGATGACCAGCAATACATTTTATACGAGAATTACCATCAATACATTTTATCTGTAGTTGAAGGCATACAATTGCTTTCCAAATGTATTTAGTTGAAGGCGTGAAATTGTGTTCAAAATATTTATATTTCTACATTAAATAACCCATAGCGGTGTTGATGTGCCGCTAAACAAAATCAACCAAACAAGATGCGAATCCTCAAATTCACAGTAGGCGCAAATTTGATATTTTATAGAGACATTTGATTTAAATGAAGCGTCATCACGCCAATCAATTTTTGCCAGTAAGTGTGCTTCTTCGACACGTCTTGAGTACCACTCACAAAATTCCACACTTTGGTCTGGATGATCTTCATTAAGAATATGGACAATTCTTGGGGTGTAACTTTTCCAATGACACCATTTCACGACTCGCCTTCTGCATTTATTTATTTGTCTGGCGATGCATTTCAAGTAACATGTCTTGTTTTGTGAGGCTGGACGATATCCGTTATCTTCGGGAATGTTTCTTGTAGACATTCTGAACAGTTCCATCTGCTTCAAACTTATCGCGAATTCGAATGATGATAAATCTTCTGGTTGGATCAGCTTGTAACTCCCTCCTGAAATATCTTTGCACTTCAACTGCGTCTTCTAACGTCCACTTCCAATTTACTATAAATTTCCTTCGTTCAAAACTGAGCCTGTAATTATTATTTCTAATGCGTTAAATTTGAAAAAAAAGAATATTAAATTAGTCATCAGCTGTTAATACATCTGCGTCAGACACTCTACACATTTAACTACACTCATGTTTAATAAATTATTTAAATTTATCGCTTACATTAGGCATATTTGAAAACTTTCAAAAATGGATGAATATCGGTGTTACTTTCATTCACCTGATGGTCCCATGAAGTATAATGTTAATTCTAAACACAGTATAATATTTACAGTCCGGAACAATGGCTTCTGGCTTTATAATCTATATTTTTTTATCACCTACTCGGATACGGTTGTGTACCTCGTGTATATATTTTCAATTCCTTTATATATTTTTTGTTTCGTGCTTTATTGAATCTATTCCGAATGTGTCAGCAAATAAATGTGGATCTGTTTACTTTCGTTTTTTCCAATGTTGGTTTCCTTTCCTTTAATTCTAATATCAACAATAAAAGAAAGCCTTTTTACCAAAGTAAGCTCCCCGAAGGCTCTACTCTCAATTACTGAACAGCTGTTTCAGGAGAAACGTAATTGTGTTAGTACATTAATCTATTAGGGTACGCTCAAATTATTTCTATTCCTTGAATTGACGTCGCTCGGAGATGAAAATTAAGAAAGAAATGTATTTTAAGAAGTCAACAGTTTTTCTCTTGTCTCTTTCGTTTGATTTTTTTTCTCTTTTCGTTATTCTTTCCTCGAAAAAGAGGAAACATAGAAAGAAATGGAGTAAAGGGAAAGATAATTAGTCCTTCTATCATTCTATCATTGTTTTTTTTCTTTATTTTTAACCTTTTTTATTTGTTTTTTCTCTCACTTAATTCTTTTCATTCTTCACTCTCTCTACCTATCTCTCCCCCTCTCTAAATCTCCCTCTCTCTCTCCCCGTCATTCTCTCTAATTACCTCTCTCTTCCCCCCCCTCTCTCTCTCTCTCTCTCTCTCTCTCTCTCACTATCTCCTTTTCTCTTTCCTCCAACCTTTGACTTATTATTTTTTCTATGAATTCTCGATATTTACTCGATTAGATTTTTATACTAAAACGCGTTCAATACAAGGCTCGAGAGCTACTCAAGGTAGATCTTTACTATTAAAATGATAAAGATGTATGATATTTATGTAAGAGGATGTGGTGAGATAATGAACGTAAGGATGATAGATAAGGATCATCTGGGATGGAACTATATGTATTTTAGGAAGGAAGGATATTTAATAAGTTTACCCTGGCAAAGACAAAAAGCGGGGGAGAGGCATGATTACGGGGAAATATATCTGACTTGAAAATCAGCATTCGAGTTCATGGCATTTACCTGGACAATAACTCCGATCATTTGAGCTCGAGGGAATAATAATAATAATAATAATAATAATAATAATAATAATATGTATAATTATTTCAGTATTAAAAGTGACATCATTCTTTTTTGCCCTTATCTCTATATATCACGCTTCTCTTTACATTCTTTCTTACACTTCATTTTTCTCATCTCTTCCTTTCTCACTTTGCATTTCATTTTCTTTCTCTTTCATTTTTCTTAATAGATTTCTGTTCAGCCTGTCTCTCTTCTCTGGTTCCGTTAACCTCCTTTTCTCCCTGCCTGCAGAATGTTGATTTATTTCTTAATCAAATTAAGAATCCTTTGATTATCGCAACGCTAAGTTCGGTAAACAACCTTAAAGCTATTGGAAAATGGAATAAGTACTCGCTAAAATGATTTACAAAAGCCGTTTCAGCAGCGTTGACAAAAAGAGCAACAACTGATTATACAAATTTTACTTGCCATGAAGCTTCGAAAAAATAACGACATTACCTAGATATCCAGGATTTCGACAACACGACTGTGATGGATTTGTTTTTTCGGATTTCATTAGGTTTCGAATTTATTACCAGACCAAACAAAATTGTTCCAACTAACTGTATATATTTTTAAAGTCAAAATAAAGCGTTCCAATTATATACGAGTTGAATATTTTGGTAGCCACGATGGACATTTTTTAAATGAGAATCAAAAGTCAGAATAATACGTTCAAATTATAGATGAAATACTGTTTCGTTAAGTGTTACATGCACGAAACAAACTAAAATCCAAAGTACATTTAATGAACTTATTTTATAAATGTGTTTCTTATATTAGTTACCGCAACGTACTTTATTTAGATAAAATAAAAAGCTTAAAAAAATTAGGTTTAAATTATGAATGAATTTAATATTTTGGTAACCGCTACGTACAGTGGTAAGATCTCTATCTATAAAAGGCAGGATGTGTGTGTGTGTGTGTGTGTGTGTGTGTGTGTGTGTGTGTGTGTGTGTGTGTGTGTGTAACGAATGCACGGCCGCAATTTTCGACGGATTTGCACCAAAATTTACATGCACATGCTCCAAGTTAGTGGAAAGGCCAAGACCGACTTTGCATTTCCCAACTCCCATCGATAGTGGAAATAATCGATGATTTCATGCTTCTACGGGAGTTTTCATGTAGTTTGCGGCCATTTTCTACTGGCCAGAGTGAGAGCCTATAGCTGGCTGCCACGAATAGGCAGGAAGATTCTATTGGCCAGCGTGAGAGCCAACAGCTGACTGACACGAATGTTAACTAGCATGCTAGCATGTGAAAAAATCGATAGCTGCATTCCTCACAAGTGGGAAAAATTTAAATCTACATGGCACTTTACTCCAATAGGCTCATTCGCTTGCTTAAACTCAACGTTGATTCTGATTCCGCAGAACTGGGTTGGATGTGAAAAAGTATTTGTTGTTAACATTTTTTTTTCATTCAAGTTTTCCAGTTACGAGTCCTTTTTTAAAGCTGATCGTTTTGTGTTCATTTTGTTTAGTTCTTTTTTCGTACCAGATTTAATGTTTAGTATAGAGCTTAGAAAAAAATTTGTATGAGTCGTACGATTTTTGAATCAAGCACGGGCAACGCCGGGCCATGCTGCTCGTAACAAATAAATGCTTAAACATTAAGGTAAAAATTATGAGTTTAATATTTTAGTAACCGCTAATTAAGTGGTAAGATCAAAAGAAAACGCTTAAACAATAGGTTAAAAATTATAAATTAATTTAATATTTTGTTAACCGCTACATACAGAGTTTTGATCAACATAAAAAGCTTAAACAACAGGTTTAAATTATAAATGAGTTTAATATTTTGGTAGCTACAATGGTCCTACTGAAATACAATTTAATCATTTAAGGTCACTTTGTGCAGAAAATTGTTTTTGCTTGATGATAACAACCTGCAATAATAATGAATATCTCCTGAAAGGCCACACGGTGTATACGGCTGGCGGTTACTTTTCTGTGACAGAAACTTTCATCTTTAATGTCCCCCTTGGTGGGCAAAGATATCCAAGACCAAATCGATAAGTTGGCGCGCTGCGCAAACTGAAACTGACCGTTTGAAAACGAATATGCTACATATCGATCGGCTGTTCTTCCAGATGCTTGTTGAACAAAGCAAAAGTTGGCAGAAGCCCATATTGATGTAATCTATCGATTCGTTACTTACGAACAATGGCAAGCGAGATAAGCACACAGCTTTCACTTGAGAACAGATGGACAGTCAATACGTGCAAAAATTATATCGAAATATAGCCCCTTACGTGAACAAATTCACGCATTCACGTGAATAACTTGGTAGCTTCTTTCCTCAAACAAGTATCAAAACTTGTAAACAGTGATTAAGTTTAAGTTAGTTTGGTACAGGTCGTTAATAAAGGAGCACTTTTTTTGAATCCAAGTTATTAGGCTCATAAAGTCTCTTATGAATATCAGGTTAAGCAACCATAACCAAAATTATCTCACGAACCATAGTTCTATGGATGGTACCTTATGTGGTTATCTACTAATTTGAGCTAAGTCTGGTACAGGTCGTTAATAGACGAGTGCCCAATGTGGATTATTTATTATACTCTAAAGATTCTTGGCATTGGCACGTTAGGACAATTACACTGGTAAATTTTGCCAAATTTAACACATTAACGATAGATCTACAAATAGAGATATCTACTATTAATCTACAACCATTAACAGAGATGTGCCCAATGGGGATCAGTTATTACAAACTAAGTAATGTCTGCAGAAATTAGCACACTAACTATAGATCTACAGAGAGTAGTCTATGTAGATATCTACTAATCTAAGCCCAGTCTGACGTCATAAATAAAGAAATGCTCAATGAAGCATTGAACATAAAAAATATTCTTGAGAATAGAAGGTTTAGCTAGTATCAATGATTGCCAAGTTTATCTCGCTAACAATTGCTCTACAAATTATATTCTATTCAGATGTCTAATTTGAGCTTCGTCTTGCACAGGCTATTAGCAGAGAAGTGCCTATTTAGGATAAAAGTTATGGCATTGTAAAGGTAATTTAGATTAGCAGGTGAATCTAATTACATTAGCAATGATTGTTGAAATTACTAAATTTATCTTTTCACTTTCGCACAAATCACTTTGGGAAAGTCGGGTATCCATCTCTTCTCGGTCTCCCTATGGGTTAAATAGCACCGTAGACGCGAAAGTATGTCTGATCAGTCCGATAACTGGAGCAAAGGATGGCTTATTAATTTTAATGCCTCCAAAAATAAAACTCTTCTCTATTAATCATCTGAGATACTCCTTTATCCTTCTATCAGCATAATTGATGCTAACTCCCAGGAGAGGGACTCATTGCGCCTCCTTGGGCTAACATTCTCAGTTGGCATGAAGTGGAAAGATTATATTGAATCCATTGCTTCGTCGACTGCTAAAAAGTTGGTTCGTTGTGTCGTGCTAGACAAATTTTCTCTCCAGAATTTATCTTACATACAGTGGGGGGAAATAAATATTCGTACACATGAAAAATTGTATTTTTATAAATGTAAAAGCCTTAACTAAAACAAATTTTGATACATTTTATGTGTAAAGATACATTTTATTAAAAAATAGTAATAAACATAATTAATTCTTATTCTAACAGAAATTAATCCATTTTCTTCATTTTAACTGATGAAAAAGGTATTCGTACAAAACACAAAAAGCATTTTAACTTAATTTAATACTTTGTGGAATATCCTTTACTGAGTTCAACAGCTACCAGTCTATTCCTGTACGTCTCAACTAATGATTTGCACACATTGAGTGGTATTTTGTCCCATTCTTCTTGGCATATTATCTTCAAATTCTTGATATTTATTAGTGCTCTTTTCCGAACCTGAATTTTCAAATATCGCCATAAATTCTCGATTGGATTCAAGTCTGGGGACTGACTTGGCCATTGCAAGACATCAACGTTACTTTCAGCTAACCATTTCCTTGTAGATCTAGCGGTATACTTAGGATCATTATCCAGTTGGAAAACCCAATCAGGAGGTAGCCGAAGTCTCTCAACAGAACGCATTAAATTTTCTTGCAGGATTTTCTGGTATCTTTCGGCATTCATCTTGCCATCTATTATTGATATTCTGCCAACACCTTTTGCAGAAAAACAGATCATGATACTGCCACCACCAAACTTTACAGTTGGCAACGTGTTCTTTGGTAAGTAGGCTTTACCGTCCTTCCTCCACACATGATTTCGATAATTATGTCCAAACAACTCTATTTTAGTTTCATCTGTCCATAGTACTTTTCCCAAAACGAATATTCTTTATCCTTATGCTCTCTAACGAATTTCAGACTGTTTTTGTGTAGTTCGTTACTTATTGTACACTTGGTTACTTTATTCCCTAATGCACGCAGATGTTCCTGCAACTCTTCTCGGGTAACCTGTGGATTTTGTTGGATCTGGCGTCGTAATATCCTTGCTGATCTTAGAGAAATCTTCGTCGGAGCACCTGTTCGTCTTTGGTTTTCGACGCTGTTACGAGTTTTAAACCTTGCAATGAACGAAGCAATTGTAGTAAAAGGAATATTCAGGTTGTTAAAAATCGTTCTATAACTGTTCCCATCTTTCTAAAGAGATAAAATGTGTTGTTTTTGTGAAATAATCAATTCTTTACCTTTAGGCATTATTAGAACCTACTCGTAAGACTAGAAATTGCAGAATGCTCTGATAATGGCTTAATTGATTATTTTATTCTAATAATTGATTTGTACGAATACTTTTTTCACCAGTTAGAATTTTAAAAATGCATTAATTTCTGTTAGAATAAGAATTAATTAAGTTTATTATTATTATTTTTTAATAGTATGTGTCTTTATACATAAAATGTGCCGAGATTTGTTTTATTTAAGGCTTTTACATTTATAAAAATACAATTTTCAAATTTTCAAGTGTACGAATATTTATTTCCCCCCACTGTATCTATATGTCTGCCATGCTTAGAATATTGGTGGTGGCACTGCTACTTATCTAGACATCCTTGATAAAATTCAAAGAAGAATCAGCAATATTTTTGATCCTGATCTGGCTTCTCGGCTTCAGTCCCCAGCGTAAAGTTGCGAAATTGTGTCTTTTCTATAAATACGTTCATGGCACCTGATCAGATAAGTTCTTCGCTGTGGTACCTAAACTTTTAAGCGCAGTACTAAACTCACGACGAGGTCTCACCAATTTACTTTTGAGTTGACTAGATGTAACCGTAGGTTCTATATTAACAATTTCTTTCCTCGCACTTCTCGCTTGCG